ACATCCATCTTAGCATTTTCATTTCTGCAACATGTATATGCCGCTGCGTGGGTGCCCAAGTTTTACTGCCGTATATTAAAACTGGCCTTATTATTGTTGAGTGTGAGTTTATAAACAAACCCCTTCAGCTTTACAGGCATTCTCTTATCACATGTTACACCCGTTACATCCTGCCATTTGAGCTACGCAGCTGCTATACAGTGTTGGATATTGTGCTCTAGGTCTCCTGAACTGTGTAAGATATTACCCAGGTATTTATACTCCTCACATTTTTTAATTTCTTGACCATTTATGCTGATAGGTTGATCATCAGAACGTGGATTATTTAAAGCCATAAACTGGGTTTTAGCGACACTCAACATCAAACCTCCTATCCGAAGTTGCTGCTTCTAGGCTATGAGTGCCTCCTGCAGAAGGTTTGGGCCCTTAGCACAAATATTTGTTCATATATTTTCATAGTGTGGCTCAGGAGTTTTATACCGCGACAGTTAACCTACTGTGGTTAACCTCCTGAGGCATTTTGGAAGCCAGCATCACGGTGTTAAAGAAGTTAGTTAAGTATGGCCCAGGCATCTCCACACCTCAACAAGAGTACCATCCGGTCCTACAGCTTGATTATTGGGCATCAATCCAACATGTGGTTCTCGGCACAGAAGTTCTTAACTGATCTAAATTTATAGTACACTGTTTTAAGACGGAGAAGTTAATTTAAGATCAAAGAGTTATTTCAGCATAAAAAGAGTGCTATTTTTCACATACGACCTTTTAATTTTTATCATATGAAAACTTCCATTAAACCACACTATATCCTACACCACAAGAAGAGATTTTTCAATAGCTATTCTAGACTTTTGCCGCCTACTCTACTGGTAGTCACACCGTGAGCGTAGGGGGCCTTACTCACGTTCAAATGAACATGCTGCACGACCTCATGAAAGTCGGAGATCATTCTGCGATCTGTCGAGTGCTTCGCTTCTCTCGTGCTTCGCTTCACACGAAACGAGGCAGTGGAATCCGAAACACTCCTCCTTTGGACCATTTACAGCGACCAGTTATAGTGAGAAGAAACGCAATACTATTTAGATAATACGAGGTTTATTAGGTCAGATCATATTTTCTATATTAACCTTTAAGTTTTCACGTTCCATGAAATATGATTTTACAAATGAACGAGTATTAATTAGACGGCAACGGCAACAAGATTTAAAGTTCTTTACAAGGTAAGTATTTAATCTTTAAATGTTACCAAAATATTTCTAATTGTGAAATAGTGTAATTAGCTATCAATAATAACAGTAGCAGCTAAGTACACCATCCAATATAGCAAATACATATTTACGGACTTAGTTAATTTTCTTAACTATCTTGTGTTTCATAAATTATGAGCGCCATTTGGCACAGGAATGCTGTTAAAATTTCCAGATTAGGAATTCATTATATCTAACATAAGATAAAACAAGTTTTACCTAAGCGCGATTAGGAAAATTGCTAGCATTATTTTGTGGTTAGCAACAAAGGTAACAGGACTAATTGATTTATGATAGCAATACTATCTTAATTGTTGTTTAATTTTTGTTTAGCTATTTTGGTTTTCTGGAGCTATACCTTCTTGGATGTTAAAATTGAATAATGTTTTTTTTAAGAAAATGGTCTTGAACAGCTTAATTTTTTATGATTTTTAAAATCTACTATTAGATTGGCTATTCATGAACAGTGTTTATATCTAATACTAGCTTCAGTGTGCGGTTCCACTCACTTAGATATTAGTTCTCGTTTATCTTTTGTTCTCACAGTTAAGCCGGTCAATCTGTGTGCAAAACTTTATCTAAATTAGTTCAGGCCGAAAGGTATGATTTTATAACTAAGAGACTAAAGAAGTAGGTAGTATGAGCATGATTAGTTAATAAAAATCTTTATCAATTAGTACAGTATTACTCCTTTTCAGTTTTAGGATTCGCGTACTTAGCGAATATTAGTTTTTAAATTAAGACTGTTGCTTGCTTTTTACAATCTAGGTTCTAGGTGTAGTTACAATAGATGAAAAACTTGATTTTAGTCGAATTTCCTTAAGAATTTCACGGTTTTTCTGTTTTTTAATTGCATTATATGTTACATAATTATATGACACAATAATAATAATGTATTTTTAAATTAAATGTAATTTAAAGTAACGTAATAAATATAATGTAAATATTTCCAAATATTTGGTTTCTAATTTACTCAGTGTTTAAAGGGGTTCTTTACGTAAGTGAATTATTTTATACCTACATAAATTAGAATATTACTTATATAGTTATTGGTATGAAAATATAGCTATATTCAAAAGTATTGGGATAAAACCAGTCAAAATAGTAAATAGTATATTTTCGAGCAAGAAGTACATGTCTGAATTAATATCTTAAGTCGAACACAATTGTGATCCACCTAATTCGGTCCTTATTATATGTAGATGTCAACTGACGTGTCGCGAGGAGGTGACGTCCGCGTGTGCCGGACGTCACTTAAATAGAGAATGTACCCGAAGGTGGTGCCCGCACCATTGCGGGCAGGCGCTAGGAGGGGTCCGGATGTCTTAATAACAGCAGTCCCCGGATCCCTCCTATTACAGGCACACCGTGTGGTTTTAGTCGGTCCAATTCCAACACATCACCCCGCCGCAAAACCCCGGTGGGGTGACAGCCCGAGGCGGTTTATACACGTAAAAAAAAAGATCTCAACTGACGTAAGCTGAATATACTGCGATTTGATACATGTGCCGATTATTTCTCAAACTAGTACTAGTACTACTGTTTCAGTTTATAATACCTTTATAATTTGCTGAATTTATACGAAGTTACCAAACTACCCCTGTTACCAACCTAATTAAATAACTCGTTAATTATATAAGATATTCAAGTGCATGTATATAGTGTGTACATCACAAATCACATCACATCAACAGCCTGTAATAGTCCACTGCTGAACATATGTATGTAGGCCTCTCCTTAGAAAGGAGGTTTCTAATATAGTGTGTAAGTATGTGTGAACTTTTATTTTTTGCGTTTTAAAATTTAGACAAAAACTACACAATTTAGAAATAGTGGACCAAATTTACAAAAGTATCATAAAACTTGCTTTATTGTGTAGTTCAGCATCACAGATTGTGTTTTTTTTTTCATGTGTAACATGTTATTGCAATCAAAAAATAAAACTGTATATTTTAAAAGATTTTGGAACTTTTTTTTCACTATTAGGAATGGACTTTTTATGTTTTTGACGTGATTGCTACCCCGCGTTAAAGAATTCTGTTCCTATAATTTTATATTAACATTACTTTGTTCGTGAAGATTGTGAAACCGAACACCAGTTATAGATTGCTTGCTATAGATATTTCTAGTAGAGCCTATAACTCATCTACAACACAACCAGAGAGTTTTATATGAAAAAAGTAATGTCGTAGACTGATAACATTACATAATAACGGTAAATGTTAAAAGCTATAAAATACACAAAGAGTTATTTATATAAAAAAAAAACAAATCCGTCGCCGGTAGCGACAACAGTATAAATTGCGCGTCAAAGAGAACTGCGGCCAGATTTACTGAGATTTATTAGCATATTCCACGGAAACGGGCTCACTGAATGTCTCAAGGTTAAAGTTATTTCAACCTAACTAATTTACTACTAAAATGGTTATGGTATTACTGATTAATATTGCTCATTGTTCGGTTTTAGCATCGATGGTGGACTAAAGAGTATTGAAATAGAACCAATTGCATTCCTTTAGTAACTAATTTAGGCGAAACCAAGACAATATTTAAGATAACACTGGAGGACACATAGACACATAAATCACAGCTAATCTTAATAAACTAAAGACTTAAAAATAACCTCATAGGTCATTCAACACATAAATCATTACAAGAAGATGACTAATTTGTATACAACAGTAAAAATTATAAATACACTGTGTGTTTAATGAAATAAATACATAAAAACATAATATATGCAAGAAACCGAAAATTAATATAGCAGTGATAAGGATAATAACATGACATTAGTGGATTCTGTGTAAGATAAAGTCGCAGATGTGCCCGGTGCGATAACCGAACCAAGTTCAAATATTTGAGAAGGTCGATTCGCGATAGGCGAAAAATAAATTATGTCAGTCAGTCGGCAACAGAGAGCTGCGTGCACGCACGTCTGCTTCTTTTATCTATTGTCTGACGCTGAATTTCACATGGCCCGGGTTATCACTAACCCGATAGACAATTCGAACTATCTACTCATGTTAACAAATTTAACAAGCATTGTACTCTATTATACTCGAGTCCGTGAACTTAGGTGTAGCAATGAGGAGTCTAGATACTGTCATATTTATCTTTTTATTTAATATTAGAAAATAACGTTCGATATACTTGTTTGAACAAATTGTTTGTAGTATTTGATTGTAGATTATGTAAAATACATATTAATGTAAATTAATTCTGTATATGTTTAAATAATTCAGCGAGTATTCGGAGTCACTATTACAATTTTTTTTACTTTAAAAAAATGATATTTTTTCTAAATTTTATGACATGAATATCTAACATAATTTGATTATGATTTATTATTATACAAAAGTACCAGTATGTAATATGAAGACAGTTGTAGAAGCAGCTTTTTGATACAATTTTTTTTTCTATTGCGTCGGCAGACATGCACACAGTCCACTGAATATTTTAACATCGAGGTGTGACAACCCATTTCAACAGCAGCAATACAGAACGCTAGGAAGGTGGTTAAGCATTGTCTTCTATAAAGTGCAAGTCTACGGGCTCAAATTCATGCCGAAATCTGGTGTGTTACCATTCTACTATTTCCAATATTGTCAATATTGTCAATTACATCCTTTAGCAATATTTACCAGTTAGTAACATTTGGTACTGTTACGATTAAGTGAGCTAAACACTACCGTCTGGGCTCTTCTAAACTCTCTCCGTTACTAAAGCTATATAGAAAACATGCAAAGTTCTTACCGTAGGTCCAATCTAAGTGTTCGCCCATCAACAGTGAGGTTGTAATGCAGCATATGTGGTTGCAAGTGTTCCGTGTGATGCAGATCTCGCCTCGCCCTAGAGTGGCCGTGCTCGTGGGAGTGATCTACCACGTGCGATACCAGCTCGCCTTCGCGGGAGACCTTCACTGGGTGTATTACTTGCACCAGGGAAGGGTCCAGGTGTTTGTGGGAGTAGATACCTGAAGAGGAAATAATAAGATTATGATAGTGTTTTCGAAACTGGGAGCGATGTAATATTTCTATTTGTATTTTCATCTAAATGTTTTTAATGATATATTGGGTGATGACCTGACAGACTGGTCACCTGATGGTAAATGATTACCGCTGACTAATGACACCTGCAACTGTCGAGATACAATTACGTTTAAGCAATTAAGTTGGGCTTTGGGTAACTTCACTCACTCGGTGAAAAGAAGAAGAAAAAAGATAAGAAAAATCGGTTTTCTGTAAGGTTGATGTATTACTGCGGTCGAGCCGGCTCATATTTCCCCAACCCTTACTCTGCCACGGTTACAAATAATATTAAGAAACCAGAAGTACTCTAACGATAATCGTAAATGTTTCATACGTGTTGTCATAAAGATGTGGGCATAAGGTTTTTTTTTTTGGTTGCCGAGATATACATACATCTTAAGGATTTGGTCTGACCCATTCAATATTTAATTAGGACTCATGTTTTGATTTGCTAAACGTTGGATACATACTGGATTGACTTAAATCACGATCGAGAATTCTGAAAACTACATCACATCAACCTGTTTTACATTATCGCAAGTTATATATACGTCATCGCATTTTCATCAGTGTATGATGAAAATGCGCTAACAGCATAAATGAAGCCAATAATATCAAAAGCCAATAACCTTTGTGTATTGTGCTGATAATAATAAAATAACGTCTAATCGTTAATGATGCAAGACATCGTACCACACTGTAACATGATACATTTTTTTTAATATTCCCTTCGCGGAATGAGACTTTAGAAATTTGGATATTATAAAGTATTTTTACTACTTTTAGAGGTTACAGGTTTTTTTTGTGACTACCTTTCCCCTACAGCTTCGCATAACGTCAATTTTGTCAATCAGATCAGATATCCTTGAATGGTACCTTTTCTAGATCAAACAACTCACCTTTTTTTTTTAACTAAGGCACATTGACATTGATAATATCGATAGGGAATACTTTCACACCATTAAATAATTTCGTATCATCGTTTAAAGGTCACAGTATTTGGGAAAACTTGAATAGCTTGTTTAAAAAAAAATTACGTTATTTATACTATTTTTTAACCTATTAGCAATTTAATTGCCGATCACGTTTGTAAAGATACACGTGTATAGTTAAAAATTCGGACAAGTGCGAGTCTCATTTGCGCATTAAGGGCCAGTAAGCAAAGAAAATAGTATGTGGACAGTTCATCCCGTCGTCGGGATGCAGATGAACCCTACAAAGTTTGAAATATTTTCACGACTTTTGATACACACACATACACGTACCATAAGTCATGAATATTCAAGGTTTACGTATGTATCGTACATACATACATAAACCTATATATGTGAGTGTTTTATTAGGATCATTCCGTCTTAGGAGAAACAATCAATGTGGCGAATGTATGGCATGTAAGCCGTTTTTTAAACAGGAAATTGTGTTTTTGTTGTGAGGATTTTTTTGACACTCATATGTAAATAGTTGATTTAATTACATTATCTACTTATTCCTAATAAGTAACTTTTTAACCTCTTCCGAAAGAAAATGTTTTAAGTTTTAATAATAATACTAAAATAAAAAATACAAAGTAATAATTCTTATCTTTTGAAGAACGAAACCCTAAAAACAAACATATCGGCACATATTGTACTTATAACAAACAAATGACAACTTGTTCTTTTAAATTTTAATAATGGGCAATTTATTGTTTTTTTAAGGAAAGTTTTAAGTTTCGATTGAATCCGACGTTTAGAATAGGTGGAAATCACGTTCAAAGATTCCATTAAATAGATACTTAGATACATACATACCAAGCTAATAAAGACTAGAAGGATATACTGTTTTACAGAAACTACCTCATTTCTTTTGGAAGACTATTGCTTTTTTGACTTGACTTGTGAGGGTACAAATCCAATTTGCAGGCCTTTCAAAAACCTATATTATGGTGCTTATTTATACCTCATAAACGAATTTCTCGAACCACTTAAATTTTGCGACGAATTTTGTACGTATATGTAAAGAGGTTTAGAGTTTGAAGAACTTAAAAACATTCATAATAAGAAATGGACGGAATGCTGATATAGTCAAATTTGTTTTAAGGGATCCGCACTATATCCGATCCAAATCCGATCCGAACCCGTAAAAATAGGGATCTAGAAATCTACCTCCACTTTCTGATCCGTGATTACAGATTTGGAAGGCTAACTGACTAACTGAATTCGTATATTGTTTACGCACTATTGCGATCTCTGATTCTAATCGAGGCAATTCAGGGGTCACCTTATCGCATGCGTCATTTTACGCGGAGCGTTCACGTCGTCGATCATGAGTCCTTTCGATCAACGTTAACTCAATCGGATTCTGATCGAACATAGCTCAAAGTCTAAAGGAAACAACATGCGACTGTCCATTTGTTTATTACACCCAATTTACTTTGTATCGGCTGCAACGCTTATGTTAAAACTTATTATTTAAACATAGAAAGGAATCGGGAACCCTTTCCGTCGGTTTAATGAAACAAAAACTTAATAATGTCTAAAACAAAATAATGTCCGTGGGAACAACGATTATAATTAAGCCTCGATCCTGTTATATCCAAACTAAATTCAATGTGCATGTCCAAAACTAGGGCTATTTGTGCACATTGCGACTTTTTCCTCAGTTATATCATTTTTATATCCGTCGTAACTTCCAAACGACAGGTCCGGTACGAGAAAATAAAGGGTTTTGCATGTAAATCATTAAACTTGTTAATGAAACAAATTAGTCGGTTAAGGATTAATATTACCGTACGAATATCATCATCATATGATTCTACGGTGATATGCGTTTCATAATCAGTCGGAACTACAATTAAAATTGTTGGTGCCTATGTTACTCCACAAACTTAGTTTGATAAGGATCAATTTGATCGTAACGTAAGCTACGTAAAAACATAGAGGTAATAAATCGACAAAGAAAGCAATTAAACCTTTTGAAAGGCGTCATAGAGAGCGTGAAGTATGTTTTATCGGAGTGGCTGGGGCACAACAGAACTTGTAGTTCAGTAGTTACTGATGGTACTTTATGTAACTCCCTGCGGGCTCACGGCGAGGTATCGCAATAGCGCGACTGCGCTTAGGGCCGGCCCTTGGCGCCAATGCACTCTCGTTTTTATATCTTTGATTCATTTAATTACACACTAACAGCGTCTTCTAATAAATTATTGTGACATTTACTCGTTACCGTTTTCTATTTTATTTCATCTAAGTTTTTGATAAGACTTTAAAAATAACAAGATGATATTATTAATATTAATGTGTTTGGTCTGCTGGACCCCAAGTCTTTGTTTTAGATGTTTCTGTTTCTTTTTTATGAAATTCCAAATGCTAAATATGTTTCACTATACAAATATATCTACATGTACTGCAGTGACGTCTTGTTGTTGAACAATGTTGTTTATTGTTGTCTTTAAAATAAATTGAAAATATGACATTTAAAAAATACCAGTAATAGTCGAAAACAAGATATTAATCAAGTTTTTTTATAAAGTATTAGAAATCAGTATATGGATTTTTCCAGGTGGACCAGAATCCAATATCCAAGGTAACAATTATTGAATAGTTTCTAAATAAGTGTAGAATATAGTAAACAATTTCCTGTAGAACACGAATAGAGAAAAAAAAGATTTAAATAAAAAATAAGACCTGATCACAATAGCGTTGGATTGAAACATTGGGATGAACATTGGTAAGACTAAGATCATTTATAATAGGCAAGTATTCAAGAGTCCCGTGGCCATAAAGGGCGCTGCTATCGAGTTTGTGCAAGAATACGTCTATCTTGTCCAAACTATCCAACTGAACTTTGATCTGGGGGCCGATAGAAGAATGCCTGTTGTACTAGCGGTAAGTGACCCTGACTGCTTCGCCAGAGTCCGTTGGTTCGATTCCTACCCAGAACAAATAATTGTGTAATGAGCACGGTCATTAGTTCTGTGTCTGGGTGTACTTTATCTATAATATGTATGTATTTATAAATATACATATATGTATGTTTATCAGCAGCCTGGTATCTGTAGTACAGGCTCTGCCTAGTTGGAGATCAGACGGCCTTGTGTGAAATGTGTGAAGATATTATTATCATATTATACTTCGTCTGGGCTGGGCGGCATATGGGAAGCTTTGTCATATCTTCGAGTCGCCAATCCCCCAATCGCTAAAAACCAAGGTTTATTCAGTGCAACCTACCCGTAATGAAATACGGAACCGAGACGTGGACTGGTCCACAAGTTTAAAGTCGTTCAGCCTGCGACCCTGCTCTGAAGCGTGCGATGCTGGGTGTTTCTCTAGTCGATAAAATGCAACTATTAGACAAAGAACTAGAGTAACTGACATCGCACGGAGAATCAGCGCGCTGAAGTGGAAGTGGGCCGGTTAGGTCTCCAGGCGGACTGATGGTCGCTGGTGCCGACAAGTGCAAGTGGAGACGGCGATTAAGCAAACGTAGTGTAGGGCGCCCTGCGGCACGATTTACCGACGACTTGAGGAAAATGGCTGGCATTTAATGGATGCGGATTGCCCAAGACCGGGATGGTTATCGCTCCATGGGGGAGTCGGTCCAGCAGTGGACGGCAGTAGGCTGATGATGATGATGATTAGATTTAAACGCTGTTGTTTTTATGACATTCCCGTCTAAGCTAAATATTTCTATTACAATTTACATTAGCAGTATACTAGAAATGGAACCCAAAAATTCGCTATCGAATTACACTCAGCAACAGTCAGCCTTAATAATACTAAGTAAAATATTTAATACTTGTTGGTGTCACTGTGTATCCGGTAACTTAAGCCTTCGGCACGCCGGTCGGCCACGTTCCTAGACAAGGTATTCTTAGTTCTTAGTAACGTTTACTTTTTAATAGATACTCATATAATATGTACAATTTCTTTTGAAATTTGCGTGCATAGTCAGCGCCGCAGCGGCG